AAAAAAACTAAAAGTAGAGTTACCATATGATCCAACAAAACCACTCCTGGGCATATAGCTGGAGAAAACTCTAAATCAAAAAGATACATACACCCCAATGTTCATGGAAGCACTATTTACAATAGCCAAGACATGGAAGCTATCTACATGTGCATCAATGGATGAATTCATAAAGATGTGCTATATATATAGACATATGTATAAATAGATGTGTGTATATCTATATATGCACAATTAAATACTACTCAGCCATAAAAAAGAAAGAAATTATGCCATTTGCAGAAGAGATGATCATACGACATCACACAGAGAAAGACAAATATCATATGGTACCACTTATACGTGGAATCTGAAATATGACACAGATGAACTTATTTGCAAACCAGAAACAGACTCACACACATAGAACACAAATTCATGGTTCCCGCAGGGGAAAGGGCGGAGAAGGGATAAATTAGGAGTTTGGGATTAGCAGATACAGACTACTATATATAAAACAGATAAACAACAAGGTCCTACTGTATAGCACAGGGAACTCTATTCAATATCTTATAAGGAACGATAATGGAAAAAGTACGACGAGGAATGGAGATACATAAATGTATAACTGAATCACTTGGCTGTACACCAGAAACTAACACAACATTGTATATTAACCATACTTAAAAAAAAAACCCAAAAACAAACAAAAATAGCTCATACACCACGATCAAGTTGGATTCATTCCAGGCTCACAAGGAGGGTTCAACATACACAAATCAACCAGCGCAACACAGCACATCAACCAAAGAAAAGACAAAAACCACACAATCATCGCCATCGATGCAGGAAAAGCATTTCATAAAATTCAACGTACATTCATCATAAAAACTCTTACCTGTGCGGGTATGGAGGGAACACATCTCAACATAATAAAAGCTATTCATGACCAACCCACAGCCAACATAATACTCAATGAGGACAAGCTGACAGTCTTCCCACTAAAATCTGGAACAAGTCAAGGATGCCCACTCTCACTGCTTTTATTCAACATGGTATTGCAAGTCCTCACCACAACACTCAGACAAGAAAAAGATATAAAAGATATCCAAATTGGAAGGAAAGAGGTACAATTCTCTTGGTATGCAGATGACCTGATACTATACATAGAAAACCGTAAAGACCCCACACAAAAACTACGAGCAATGATAAACAAATTCAGCAAGGTAGCACGATGCAAGACTGACATATGGAAATCTGTTGCATTTCTTCACACTAACAATGAAATATCAGAAAGGGAAAGTAAACAAAACAACCCCGTTTAAAATCGTATCGAAAAATAAAATACAGAGGAATAAACCTGACCAAGAAGGTGAGAGACTTATATGCTGACAACTGCAACACACTGATAAAGGCCACTGAAGATGATTCAAAGAAGTGGACAGCTATCCCATACTCCTGGAGTGGAAGAACTAGTATCATTTAAATGGCCATACTACCCAAAGCAAACTACAGATTTCATGCGATCCCTACCACACTACCCATGACACTTCTCACAGAACTCAAACAAATAATCCTAAATGTACATGGAACCATAAAAGACCGAGAATTACCAAAGCGCTCCTGAGGAAAAAGAACAAAGCTGCAGCCATAACCCGCCCAGACTTCAGACAACACTACAAAGTTACAGTAACCAAAACAGCATAGTACTGGCACAAACACAGCCATAGGGATAAAGGGAACAAAATATAGAGAGACCAGAGATAAACTCACACACCTACGGTCGATTAGTCTTTGACAAAGGAGGTGAAAATATACAATGGAGAAGAGACAGTCCCTTCAGCAAGTGGTATTGGGAAAGCTGGACAGCCTCATGTAAACCAATGAAGTTGGAACACTCCCTCATTCCACACACAAACATACACTCAAAATGGCTTAACAACTTAAATGCAAGACATGACACCACCAAACTCCTAGAAGAGAACCTTAGGTAAAACATACTCTAGCATAAATCCTAGAAATGTTTTCTAAGGTCGGCCTCCCAAGGCAATGGAAACAAAAGCAAAACTACACAAATAGGACCTCATCAAACTTCTCATCTTTTGCACAGCAAAGGGAACCATAAGCAAAACCAAAAGACAACCTACGAACTGGGAGAAAATATCTGCAACGGGGTGGCCGACAAGGGCTTCGTTTCCAAAATATACCAACAGCTCATACCACTCAATACCAAAACCACAAACAACCCAACTTTAAAAGTGGGCAGAAGACCTCAACAGACACTTCTCCAAAGGAGACATACGCATGGGCAATAGGCACATGAACAGATGGCCAACATCACTAATTACTCGAGAAATGCAAGTCAAAACTCCAATGAGCTGTCACCTCACAATCGGGCAGAGTGGCCATCATCAAAAAGGCTATAAATAATAAATGCAGGAGGGGATGTGGAGAAAAAGGAACCCTCCTACCCTCTTGATGGGCACATAAATTGGTGCAGGCACTATGGAGAAGAGTATGGAGGTTCCGTAAAAAACTAAACAGAGTTACCATATGATCCAGCAATCCCACTCCTGGCCATACAGCTGGAGAAAACTCTAATTTGAAAATATACATGCACCCCAATATTTAAGCAGTACTATTTACAATAGCCAAAACTTGTAAGGAACCTTTATGTCCACTGATAGCTGTATGCATAAGGAAGATGTGATACACAAACACACACACACACACACACACACACACACAATGGAATATTACTCAGCCATAAAAAAGAATTAAATAATGCCATTTGCAGCATCATGGATGGACCTAGAGATTATTTTACTACTTGAAATCAGACAGATACAAATATCATGATATCAATCACATATGGAATATAAAAAATAGTACAAATGAACTTATTAGAAAACAGAAACACTTACAGTAATAGAAAACATACTTATCGTTACCAAAGGGTAAAGTGGGGTAGGGATAAATGAGGATTATGTGATTAACAGATACACACTACCATATGTAAAATACATAAACAACAGGGATGTATGTATAGCACAGTGAACTATCTTCAACATTTTGTAATAACCTTTAATGGAGAAGTATAAAAAAGATATCTATACTGTATATATGTGTGTGTGTATACATATGTACTCATACACATATATGTAACCAAATCACTGATCTACACCTGAAATTTATACAGTATGGCAAATTGGCAAATGAACTATGCTTCAAGTAAAAAATAAATAAATAAAAAGAGAGATCTCCATGTGTTGGATCCTGAAGGCTGGGAAGAAGATCTAGTCGTAGGTCCCACCATGCATATAAATGTCCGGCTAACCTTTATCTTTTCGAGATGCTCCCTCAGTCACCGCTGCGTCCAGAGTCCTAATCAGGTCTTGGAGGCAGAGTGAAATGAAGCCTTCTGACCCACCCTTGTGAATCACTTTGTGTTTGTTAACTCACTTCTTATCTTTGCATCTGGCGTTAACTTCATTCATTCTGCCTAGTAAGAGTTAACTATTTTTCTAATTATTTCCCTGAGGTACTAAGGAGCTTAAAAGGCAGGGTGCTCTGGTCCCCTTTCCCCCTAGTGGCCTGAACTCTGTCTTGCACAGAGTAGGTGATTTAGATGCCCGTTGACTCCGATTTGGATTGACTTGTGGAAAAGAAGATTCCAGAGCCTGAGGCCAAGTGAAGTAGTGTTTTTATTTGAGGCATAAAAGCACATGGGCTTCTGTCACACGGGATGAGGATGGCTTTAGGTTACTGGTTTCTAAGATAAGACTTTATGTTAAACACGGCTTCTATCACAGCTTCTTGGGAAATGAATCAGAGAACAAGACACAGCCAGGAAAGAAAATCATTACTGTTGCTGGGAAGTTGTAAAGAAAGAGAAGAACTTATTCAAATCAATGTACATGTCACAGGGCCCCAAGGAGGACGAGAGTGGTGTGGGGAAAAACGGTCTAAGTTCCTCCTCTTGGCAGTGATGTTGGCCTCTCCTTCCAAGGCAAGGACTTGCCCCTAAATGGAAGCAGCGGGGTCAACTTGGCCCTTCTGACGGCACCAACATCTCAGGGCTCCCCAGTTCCCTCTCTGGATCCCCAGTTCAGTCCCCCCCTTTCCCCTGAAGAACTCAGAGAGGAAGGACAGGGTCTATGTCATGGACACTGCTACTTGCTCGATGAAGCTGGCCAGGTTTATGTCCCGTTCTGAAAGGCCTGCACACTCATGAGTGCTCAGGGTGATGTGGACCTGAAACAAAACCAGAGATTCGGGGCCAGCTGATTCCACCGACTGCACCTAAGAGCAGGAGAGAGTCACCAGCTCCCGGGCTCAGCCACACCAAGAAGTGTAACCAGACACTAACCCCTCTCCTGGGGGCTGCCTTCCTGACAAGTCTCTAACATCAGTGCAAAACTGTCTTCTATTACACCTCCATAAACACTGGTAACCACAGCATAGGATAAAAAAAGAAAGATCCAGATATCAAGAGCAACCTCAAGATCAGAGACAAGACCCCAAACCAACTCCTCAACACGGTCCATTTACAGAACATCACTTCCAGCCTTAATGCCTTTAGAAAGAGTCCAGCATAGCTCTTGGTTCACGACAGGCATTTAATGACTGTTTCCATTCATTCAGCAGACAGGCTGATCTCCTTGGTGTGCATGGGTATTCTTAGTTCAAGTTTATTGCCTTTTCATTCTTCCATATCTCCAGAAAATGTCACCCCTTTAGAGCTATTAACAGTGAATATGCCTGGTCCCCACAGCCTTTCCTTCTCTAGGATTTGCCTTCTTAATGTCTCCTTAACCCACACGTTGTCTCACTAGTTTCAAGTTGCTTTTCTTTAATCTGTAGTGAGACTGAATATTTTCTAGGGGTGTTTATGTCGATCCTAGGAAGGAGATGAAAGGAACAGGAGCAGACAGTCGACCTATGGGGTGAGGAAAGCCCACAGGCAAGTCCAAGGAAGTGGCCTTCAGAATGAGTTGGAGTTCTAGGCATGTATCACTCACCTTGTTGTACACGTTAAACCATTCAGGATGGTGGTCCAATTTCTCAGCCTGAAGAGCCACTCTTGTCATGAAGCCAAAAGCCTGTTTAATGAATTGAGACCCAGGTTAGTGTCCTGAAGGAGAGGACTGCTGGGCCCCCTTTTATGGCCAGCGTAAGGCCCAGACTCAGGAGGATTGCCTCGCTCCCTACAAGGTGATCCTTCTAGCTTTCAGCATTCCGCCTAGCACCCTGCCACTGGTTCTGAGGCTGCAGTTTGAGGTGGTCCTTCTGCAGTAGGAAGTCTTGTTACCAGGACCACCAACAAGGTGGAAACCCCAGAGAGCTTCTGAGTCTTCGCCAATCTTTTGGTTATCTACTAAAATGTCTTCAAATGTGCATCTGCTTCCCACTTGAACTGTCTTCTCTAAGGATCGTTTCGAAAAGTTCCAGGTGTGGAGAGCCCAAGACCCATCTCCGCCCTCTCCAATCCCCAAGGAGGACACCTTCCAAGTAAACTGGATTAGCGGAGCATCTGACAGTCTTGGCTAACAGAACTTTAAGGGAAGGAACACGTTCTGGAGCGTGACCCCGATCAGCCCCAGTCTCAGGAAACTCTGTCCCACCCTGATGCCATACCCGATTGAAGTCTTTGAAATGGAACTGCTTGAAGATGGCATCCCGGCCTTCCAGCTCGTTCCACCCCACGGCCCGCAGGTTTGGCAGCAGCTGGTCCCTCTCCTCAGCACTTAGCCTGTGCGCTTTGCCAGCCTAGGAGAGGGAAAACACAGAAGACCAAAGACATTTGTTTTTTTTCACAGGACAAAAGAGAGGGCTCTGGACCTTTGGGGAAATTTAGCCAGCCTCCACTGGCAGTTCTGGTGGCGCAGTCAAAGGGCAGCTGGTCTAAATCAACAGACTGGGAGGAGGGGCTCTGTCTGGTGCACTGATAGGTTCTTAGAGAACAGAGAGTCCTGAGGTGTAATGCAAATCGCTGGGGCAGAGAAACACTCCTTCCCCACCCCTACCCCCAAAGCCTTACAGAGGGCACCCCTCCGTAAAAAAACTAGATCTCTTCTGTTCATGGGGGAGCAAAAGTAAATCAAGCCCCTACTGTTGCTGTGTATTGAAGAGGAAACTGCGGCCTAGAGAGGGGAAATGACCTCTCTTCCTTCACCCCCCACCCTCAGTCAGCAAAAGCACAGGAATCCTTCTCAAGGTGGGTCCATGTGTCTGCATCCCTGGGGCTGGGCAAAGGAACCAGCACTTAAAACATGGTCCAGGCGATCCCTAGCCACACCGTGGTCAACAACCACTGGACTACCTCCTAGTGGGTATCCCACCACGCTCCCAGGCAGCCTCTGGTTCCCAGCTGCCAGGCCTACGTTTCCCAGTTTTCCACCTTCTTTTCTATTCTGTCAGCTTGGGAAGCTGGAGCCACAGAGCTCAGTCCCCAAAGCAGAAGTAACTTGGCCAAGGGCAAATGGCAAAGCCACTGCCTCAGCCTATTTTCCTATTGTGCAAAATGCCCTCGAGGCAGCCCAAACTGGCGTTAATTCAGGCTGTGAGTGGAACCCTCTCTTGGAGAACAGAAGAAAGCAAAGGTCAGTTCCAGCCTCTAAGAAGATCCAGGTGGAGGAGCTTAAGGGATCCCAGAATTTAGGCCCCTGAAGTAGAACTACCCAAGGCAGGAAAGTGAGAGTGCTAAATTAAATCAGTTAGGTCTGGGAAGAGAATGCAAGGGAGGTTAATTTAGCTTTTATGAGGCAGCCTGCCAACTGGAAGCCAGGTGGCCTTGGGGCGCTCATCTCCCCTGGCCTGATGGGTATAAAGGCACAAGAACTTCCACTTTAGGAATCAGCCAGAGGAGCCAGGAGACACTTTAATAAACTCCATTGTTATTTAAGGGAATATCACCTGCATTTTTAAAAAGAGACTTGCTGGGGCAAGTAAGCTTATGACAGGCCTTCAGGTTTGGGGCAGAACTGGAAAAACATTTCAGGGCTCTGATAACCGTTTTCTCCCTCCTGAAAGTGCCATTTCTCTCTGGACCAATCTGGCTGGCTCTGTCTCCTCTACTGGGCTCTGGAAGGCCAGTGAGGGCAGTCGAGATCTGCATCACCGCCCAACCCCCAGACAGCTGACCCTGTCTCAGTGGCTGGTAAGCCTGGTCCGTGTATCCAGGCAACCGGGTGACCACATGGCAGCCAAGGCATCAGAACCCACCATTTAGTTCTCTGGCTCTGAAAGGAGTGCGCAGGTACTAGCGGGCTCCTAGGAGGCTCCTTTTTAGAGTCTTCTGGAATCCCCTACATTTCACAGCCTGGGGCTGAACTGACAAGTCCCTCTGAAATCTGGGATCAGAGAGGGGGCAGGGGTGGTGTTTGCTTAGTAAATCACAGGTCAGGCCTGGACTCAGCCTGGGCCTCTGGGAGTGTGCAGAGGGGTTACTGATTACCCACGCCCTGTGGCTTTGGGCCTCAGTGTACCTCACAATCAGCTCACCCACCACCTCCCCTCCATCTGAACCGTAGCCTTCAAAGTGCCCTCCCAGGTGGCACCGCAGTCCCGACTGCTCCTAACGCTTTGAGGCCTAACACTTCTTAGTAAAGCTTCCTGGGTCTAGAAGCTTCTCCGCAGGCTCACCTTCACCTCCCTAGCTGAGCACAGGGCCTGAGACTCCCAGGAAAGCTCAGCCTGGAGGGCGGGTGACCCTGAGCAATCATGTCCCCATTGCTGGGCAGGGGCCTCAAACTAGGAGCCAGGGGCCGGCTCTGAGGTCGGGGGACAGCACAGAGGGCTTAGCAGAAGAGCAAGCGAGAAGGGCAGTAAACAGGCAGACAGAGGGGACACGCAAATTCAGTCGCCCCAATACAGGACAGAACCTCTCCACCAAGGGGAACTATGCCCTGGGCTCACTATGCTGCCCCTCCCCACCCCCGCCCAGAAAGGTCTCTAAACCCCACCCGCGGCACTGAGGCCCCGCGCGGGCTCTGGCCGGGGCTCCCGCCTAGCTGTAACCTGGACCTGCCACCGCCCCTCTCCCGGCTTCAGCTTCCCAGGGGGCACCACTCGGGAGCGGGGGTGGGACAGAGACCCCCACTCTCCCAGCCGGGCGCGCGGCTGCTCTGCGAAGGCCTCAGAGGAACCCCCCCGCCCCGTACCTCCCGGCGCCGTCCTCTGGCCTGGGCGGGGACCCAGCGCGGCCCCTGGCTCTCCTCCGCCCCTCCCGCGCGCCCCCTCCTAACCCGGCCGCCCCTACGGGTGATCCCCCCCACTCGCTCACCATGCCGGGCGCGGACGCAGGCAGCAGCTGGTGGCGGCGGAGCAGACGAGCGAGACGCCCGGCGCACTGGGAAGCCGTCGCGCGGGGCGGCGCTCGGGCCGCCCCGGGGCTGGAGCTCAGCCGGGAAGGGGCCGCCCACTGGTAATCATTAACAACAGCTGGGGCTGCCTTCCAGCACTTTCCTCAGTGCCGACGTTGCAGGGAGCTCGGGGATTAAGGACCCAGGCTCCAAACGCGGACTCCAGCAATTGCATCGCGCTCTGCCACTTACCAGCTGTGTGACCCTGGGCGCGAGATTACTTTTTTAAAAACACCTTATTGAGAAATTGACCCACACAGTAAACCGCACAAGTTTAAAGTGTACAGTTTGATGCGTTTTGACATGTATGCATCTGTGCAACCATCGCTACGATAAAGATCATGAACATAGCCATAACCCTTAAGTTGCGTCCTCCCAACTCAAGACAACTGTTGACCTGCTTCCTCACTATAGATTAGGTTGCATTTTCTAGAATGCTATGTAAATGCAAATCATACAAATTATACTCTTTTTATATCTGCCTTCTTTCACTCAGCAGGATTACCCATGTCGTCGCACATATCAATAGTTTCTTCCTTTTTATGTCTAAGTAGACGTTATTTTATAGTATTATATTGTAATGGATATGCTACAATTTGTTGGACGTTTGGGTTGTTTCCAGTTTTTGACTATTACAAATAAAGTTGCTGTGAACTTTGGCATACAAGTGTTTGTATGGATATATGTTTTCACTTGTCTTGCGTGAATACCTAGGAGTGGAATGGCTAGGCCATGTGGCAAGTATATACTTATAACTTGTTAGAAATCTGCCAAACTGCTTCTGAAAGTGGTCAGACCATCTTACATCCCCACCAGCAGTGTATGAGACTTCCAGTTCCCTTGCACCGCGCCCCCCCAGCTGCACGAATACTTGCTATGTCAGTCTTTTTAATTTTAGCCAATTTAATTGGTGCGCAGTGGTATCTCACTGTGGTTTTGAGTTTCCTAAATGACTAATGATATTAAATACCTTTTCATGTGCTTATTTGCCAATGGTCAGTCTTTGGTGAATTGCCTGTTCAAATTTCCTGCCCGTTTAAAAAAGAAAAATTGAGTTTTTTGTTTTCTTACTGGGTTTTCAGAGTTCTTCATTCTGGATACAAGCACTTTATCAGATATATGATTTGCAAATATTTTGTTTGCTTTCTCACAATGTCTTTCAAAGAGCGAATGTTCTTAATTTTGATGAAATCCAACTTATCAAAAGTTTCTTTTATGAATTGGTATTTTGATGTTGTAACTAAGAAATCTTTGCCTAACCCAAGGTCACAAAGATTTTTCTCCTATGTTTTCTTCTATATTTTATAGTTTTTAGTTTTACTATTTAGAATTTACAGTGCTTTTTTAAAGTTGGTTTTCGGAGCTCTATATATCTCAACTTTAATTGCTTGTCAGTTTTAGATATTGCAAATATCTCCTCCCGTTCAGCCATCTTTACACTAACTTCTTGCATGATGTCCTTTGTTGGCAGAAATCTTATATTTTGGTATAATAAGACTTATGCATTAGCTTGGCAACGCTGGTGGGTAGAGGGCAGACGAGAGTTTTCAAAGACAGAAAGGAGGATTTGGGCTCTGCTAGGGTGTAGACAGCTGGAAAGAGTGTTCCACAGTAGCAATGAGAAAAGCCTGGAGATAATATACAATCATCACTTTTCTTCAGCTGGCCGGGGAGCTGAGGTCACAGGGCAACCAAGTAGTCTGAATTCCATGGGAGGCAGGATGCACCTGTGCCAGGCGTGCCCGCCAGGCGTGGGGCCGGGAGGGGAGGGGGAAGACACACAGCCTCCATAAAAGTGGGTGAGAAGAAATCAGCTGAAATGTTAACACATTGTTGGAAGCCAGGTGTGTGCTGGCATACAGTCTGGAATAGCTGGGGCCCCAAGACACCACGGGGAGAGTTTGCACACACGAACAGCTTTTATTTATGGACCTCCACTGAGTGTTCAGGAGAAAGAGTGGGGGAAGGGCAAAAGATGGGAGCAAACGCCCCCTTCCCTCTCCCTCCCCCCAAGCCAAGCAGGGGATTGGCTGCTGCTGTGGGAAAAGGGCCAAACTTGAAGTCCTCTCCAGACCCTTGTCTTAAAGGAGCAAAAGCCGTAAATCGCTAGGAGAGGGCCAACAAATCCTGTCTCTCCCAGAACCCAGATAAATATGCATTGTGGCTTCATTTCCATATATATATATATATAGATAGATAGATAGATATATATATATAGATATATGTGAAAGCATATATCCATACAAATACTCGGAGGAAAAAAGAAAATCCCTCTGCCCTGGGGTAGGGGCAGGAAACAGTTCTGGGCCTGGGATCCTATACCAATACAACTGGAGGTCGGCAACCTCTGGGGAGAAGCAGGAAACTTGCACACAAGTCCAGCCAGAGATATAAGGCAGTCTGGCTGCCATGGGGCCGAGGGAGGGCGGGGATGGGCAGGAACACTGAGAAAGCTCCAGCACCCAGGGCCACAGAGAGCCCACTTCCAGCCCCCTACCATGAACCTAGCACTAGTAGCGTACCACTGGGAGAAGGGCAAGAATGTGGGAAGTATGTGGAGAGACACCTTCTTCCTGTGGGATCGTTAGGGAAATGCCAACTGGTACTACAATGAGATCCCACTACACACCTCTTAGAAGGACTAGGAAAAAATGCCACCTGATAATACCATGTGTGTGGATGAAGATGTGAGGTCACTGGAACTCTCATGCGTTGCTGGTGGACATACAAAACGGTTCAGCCCTTTGGAAAACAACTTGGCAATTTCTTGTGAAGTTAAACATACACTCACCTTGTGAATCAGCAATCCCGCCCCAAGAGAAATGAAAACAGGTCCACGGGGAAAAACATCCCATATGCAAATGTGTATAACAGCTGTATTTGGAAATAATCCAAATGCCCATCAACAGAGAAATGAATAAACAAATGTGGCCCATTCATGAACTGGAGTACTACTCACCAATACAAATGAATGACTGCTGCCCCTGCAACAATGTGCATGAATCTGAAAAGCATGCTAAGTGACGGAAGCCACACTGAAAGTTAAAAAAAAAAAAAAGATCATCTGCGTACAAATATTGCACATCTGATGACAGGAAGAAACTTCCACACATTAGATGCTGTTTCTGTACACATCGAGCCTTGTGTACAGAACCCACCCAGCTCCCCCGTTAACCACATGCTTCTCTGCCAGGGGCTGTGGGATGCATTCCCATCACAACTTCTGGCCCTGCACCTCTATGTCACCACACAACGCTGGGTGACTCGGCACAGCAGGAGTTGGGGATATTTCTGGAAGGAATTCTTATAACCAGAACAGCTAGCAATAACTAATCTAGACATGGATGTAACTTAGAATCATTCATTCATGTATCCATCTAAACCCAAAATAACTCTATCCCCAATACAACTTGCCCTTAGTATGATCCCCGAACATGCCCAATGTTTAACACAACCCAACATGAGGGGTGTGACATAGGGAAAGTTGGAGTGACAAAAGACAAGGGGCTTAATCTATTGCACTGAAAATATCTATCTTTTGCAAATTTTGCAAAGCCATGTGACCATGTGGGTCCCTGGGTAGGTCCCCTTCAAAAGAAGGGCCATGAGGCTCAGGTTTTATCTGCTTCCCCATAAACCCACCCCTGCCAGGGAGCCTTCCCTGAGAGACCCACCCAGCTCCTGACCATCATTTATTTGGTTTCTTTCCTCAATACTTCCTGTTCTTCCTTTCCTTTGCTCCTGGAAGATGAAAATTGGCATCTGTGAATCTCCTACAGTGTCTGGCACTCTGCTCTGTACATAATACTCTCTCAACAGATGGTTCCCAAATCCATGTTTGTGTATTGGTTTTTGGTAGCTGAGATGGCTACCGAACAACACATACACCATATTCAACTATCTAAAATGACAATTTGGAGACGCTAACATTAATGTAGAACTCATTTTGTTGCCAGTTCCTAGGCTAAGGATCTCAAAAGTAAAAAACAAAAACAAAAACTTTTTTAAAAGAAAACATGCTAATAGTAAAAAACAACAACAATAAGAACGAGAATAATATGGTTGGGCATAAAGAGGAAGATAAAAGCCACCCTTCTTGGGCTTCCCTGGTGGTGCAGTGGTTGAGAGTCCGCCTGCCGATGCAGGGGACATGGGTTCGTGCCCCGGTCCGGGAAGGTCCCACAACAGTGAGAGGCCCGCGTAACGCAAAAAAAAAAAAAAAAAAAAAAGCCACCTTTCTCATCCCCTTCTGCACCCGCTCAGGGCACCACACAGAGGCAACCATGGGAACTAGGGCAGTGTCTGTGCTGAGGTCAGCCTCCTCCATTTGACTGATTATGGGATCTTGAGCAATATGCCTAACCATTTGGAACCTCAGTTTCCCCAACGGTAAAATGGGGATGAGGGTGATAGCCACCTTGTAGGGCTTTTGTAACGATTAAATGAGATACTCGATGACAAGTGCCTGGCATTGCTACCTGTGTCCTCCCAACTGCATGCTGGAGGTCACCTGCACACAGTTTCTCTTCCCACCGATGCCTTTCTGCCTCCCTCTACCTGAGGACATTCTCTGCCCAAGATGGCACTCGGTTCTGCAAGTGAGAGGTGTTGATACTCTCCTGTCAACCAGTGGGAGCCGGGCTCAGTGGGTGAATACCCACATACTCACTCCCCCTTGGTGGAACCATTCTGTGCATGCCAGTCTCTCAGGGGTCCCCAGCGGGATCAGGCCCAAAGCCCTAAGTGACGTCCTGTTCACTACTGCACACGTTCTTGGCTTTCCTTCCTCTCCGTTAACCTGCCTGCTGCCTCCTTTGATTTTTCTTCATTCAAGGTTGTCCTTTTCTTGTTGAGTTGTAAGATGATAACCCGTCACTTATCACGTATGTAAGTATTTTCTCTGAATCCCACTTGCTTTTCATCTCAGTGATGTAGAAAAATGTTTAATTTTTAGGTGAATCCTCCTGATTTTTCCTTTATGGTTTCCGAGTTTCGGGCCTTGCTTAGAAAGGACATTTTTCAACCC